TTTGGGGGGGGGGATGATCTAGCACAGAGAGTTGTCCGGTCGCCACCGGTGTGAAAACGTCTCCCTGGGTTATTCATCTTCCGCGTGTGTGGGATTTCCCAACACAAAAAGCCATTGATTTGCCTTGACCCACACCAATGGACACGTTGTAGAAAAACGTGGTTAATGTACATCGAGCCGACTGGGGGATAAAAATGATTCTCTGACCTCCCAGCAGGGAGTATGTTACTCCCTCTTTGGAGGGGTACAACTTATGCGTCACAGCTTGTCAGGGAAGTGGCATTTCTTCTCTCTGCTTACTATGTCTTTTTACCATCTTTCTTCCATCCATATGTTGACTAAGGGGATAGGAGTGAGTAGGCAGGTTGTAGTCTTGCAACAAAGGCGCCCCCCCCCCCCCAATCCCATCCTCCTTGAAATGACATGTTTTTATTCTTTAGTGCATTGAATTCTTGTCAAATTTTTAAAATTAACCCTCCTCCCTTTTAATCCCACCAAATTATATTTTATAGATCTCAGCCAAAAGAAACGCGCACCAACACATGAACTGATAGGTTTTTTTTTCTGGAAAAGGAAGACAATCATTCAGATACAAGAGAAAGCTCATGACGGAGTTGGTTGAGGAAGTACCTCCCTGGGGCATCCTCCGACCGCCGCATCATTATTGTGTAATTGTGTGGAATATGAAAATACCAAGCCCCGTCTCTGTGTTATCGTATTATGCTCTGTGCTCCCGGTAGGTAGTAATTGCCCATTTCTGTTCGCATGGGAGTCTCGGGAGTTTTGTGAGATCCGCGGAGTGCTGAGATTGGAGTGCTCGTCCAGGTTGAGACGTGGAGTGAATCCGTATTTCGAAAATCCAGCTAACCGGTTAATTAAGTTCTCAAAAGGTAGCACTGGTTCATGAGCTAGTAGATTTGTTAAGCTGATTTCAAATATTGGCGTCGTAGCAGATTCACAAGATGGCTTTCCCTTTTTGTGCTGAACTGTTTTACGAAGTGGTTCTGAGCTGTTTGACAATATTCGTAACTCCCAATTTCGTCCTACGCACTCTGTAGGAACACTGCTTTGTAAATAGCAGCACTACAGGGTATAGCCATGTGGAGTGAGGACGATTTAAAATTCAAATCGGTACAGCGGTACCAAACACTTGATAGTCATGCTTACCCATCGATCCATTCGTCTGCCCCTCCAGCGATACGTCCGTCTCGTCTCGGTTCATTATTGTGGATTCGCTTGAAAAATCCGGTTAATGAAGAAATGAGTCTTCTCCGGCTCAACCTGAAAGATACAGGAGAGAATCCTGAAGCTCTTGCATTGGTGTTTGTAGAGAAAACAGCCCTAGTCTCGGCTGGGCTCTGGCCTGTCACTCAGGTGCACGGGATGTGTCAACCTCCCCGGCCAAATCACGCAGCCGGAATGGCTTCCACAGCCCTAATAACTGGTTGAAGGAGGCACCGATACTTTCTGAAACTTTCCCCGGACGCAAGTAATTGCCAGTTTCTGTAGCCCCGAGCGAGTGAGCTGATCAAACAGAGTGCCCGAGACAACCTTTTACAGCGGGATACGTGGTCATTAGGGAATCTCCATCTCTACTTCTCTCACGAATAGCTCAATCGATGTCCTGCTGGACAGCTTAGTGTATCATGTATAGTTTTGGTTCGAATTCCCCGTGGGAAGTTAATTATTTTTGTTGTTTGGGTCGTTTTCGTGGCTCACCGCTCACTTTGTTCAGTTCGAGAGGCGAGAGACGTTGACATGACAGCATCACAGGCTGTAGTAAGGTCTCCAGTGCTCCGTCAGTTGAATGCCCTGACCCTGTGGAAAGATTTGTTAAAACTAAACCATACTCTTTGATCCCGGCCCTCTTCAGACCGCTCTCCGTGAAGGATACACTCGCAAGGCTTCTTGTTTTCTTTCCTGTACGGCCGTTAGATTCGGGCACTCTTTGCTGTCTTCATTTTGGCGACACTAAAATGACGTCGATGATGCTGATAATGAAACTTTGTTAGCTGTAGAGAGAGCGCTTGTGAGAAATAGAGAAAGGCAACGAGAGAGAGAGAGAGAGAGAGAGAGAGAGAGAGAGAGAGAGAGAGAGAGAGAGAGAGAGAGAACG